CCCCCCCCCGACTTCCCACCAGATCTGGCTGTGCAGCCCCACAGGATGCCTAGGTCAGGATCAGCCCTCCTCTGAGTACACAATGTGTGTTGGGACTTCCAAACCTGCAGCCCTGGGGGCTGGCCCATGTGACCTGGGATTTCACTTCTCCAGAGTCTCAGTTGATCCACATGTAAAACTGGGGGCTACAATGTTCTGTCCCACTGTGATTACTTCTAGAGGGGTAGTAGAGAGATTATATGTAGCACTGGTTATTTTTGTCATTGTCCTGCCTAGACCCTGCCATAGTGGCAAGTCTCATTTACCCAAAGAGGAAGTAGAGACCCAGAGAGGGCAAGAAACTTGTCCAAGGTCACACAGCCAGTCACAGCCTGTGTAGAGCCCCAAGCCCTGATTCCTGGCCCTCTACTCTGTGGTAGAACCATGTCCTTAAGGAAAGGAACCCAGCCCCACCTGCCCACCTTCACTATCCAGGGCCTTGCCTTCCTCCTCCTCTTTCACAAGCTAGAGACAGGGCCTCAGTTCCCTATTTAGAATTAAGTAAACTGTGCCCAGGGGAGGAAGTGGCCAATCTGGCAGGCTGTAGCCCAATCCCCTCTCAGCAGGGGCCCTCACCCTTGCTGTCCCCTACCCACTAATTTAAGAGCTGAGGAAATTGAGTCCCACAGAGGGTCCCTGGACCCCAAGATCATCAAGCCACAGAGCGGGCTGGGAAAGCCTGACCTGAGGCTATGGCATCTACAGGGCCGGCTGAGGCCACCCTGGCCCCCCCCTCCCCTGGTTTGAGCAACACCGCCAGGCTCTTCCTGAACTTTTGAGTTTCACTTTCGTCACTTAGAAGGCTGCCCTGCCCCCAGCACAGAAGCCCCAGGGCAGGGAAGGCCCCCCCTCCCTTCTCTGCAGTGCCCGCAGGGAGGCGGGAGGGCTCCAGCTGCCTCTGAGGACACTCCCACCCCAGCCCTGCTGGAAGCAGGGGAGCGGCCTGAGTGAGCCCAGCTGCCCTGCTTATTTCCTGTGTGACTTCAGCGCCCCATTGTGTCCTCTGGGGCCTCAGTTTCCCGATCTGTCTGAGGGAGAAGGTGGCTCTACCTTCTGGGATTCTGTGGGATGAGGTGTACAGGATACCAGTATGACTAAGAACTGTCTGCCCGTCCCGCAGGACCATGGGCTCCATGTTTCGTAGCGAGGAGGTGGTGCTGGTCCAGCTCTTTCTGCCCACAGCGGCTGCCTACACCTGCGTGAGCCAGCTTGGTGAGCTGGGCCTCGCGGAGTTCAGAGATGTGAGTCGGGGCTGGGGCAGGTGTTAGGGGGCTTCCTTTTGGGGCACTGCTGCTGAGGTGACCTGGAGTCTAGTCTGGATGGGGACCACCTCCCTTGGTAGTGTCTTCCACCCCATGTGAATCACAGCAGTCCCTGTTTGTAGATTCTGATCTTGGGATGTGCATGGCTGAGGCCTCCCGCCCTGGCCTCCTCAGCTCTCCTCAGGGCATGGGGGCCTGCTCTGTGCTCTGCTTGGGCATCCAGGGACTTGTGGTGTGCTCAGCACCTTTTTGGAAGAGGTGGCTAAGGCCTGAGGAAAGTCAGACCTGAGCCCTAGTGGAACAGACACCTCCCTGGTCTCCTCTGGGACACTGACGCCTCCATGTGGCATTTCAGCTCAATGCCTCAGTGAGCGCCTTCCAGAGACGCTTTGTAGTGGATGTCCGTCGCTGCGAGGAGCTGGAGAAGACCTTCAGTGAGTCAGCCCCAGACCTGCACCCCAGAGAGGCTTCCCGGAGGAGGCATCCAGCCAAGTTGGGTCTGAAAGGAAGAGTACAGATTTCCTAGCTGGAAGGCAGAGAAGGGAGGTGCAGGCCAGCCCAGCAGAGCTAAGACGAGCCACTGGGATCTGTGGGATGGTCTTGGGAAGGGGGCAGTCTTGGGCAGAGCAGACGGTCCTGGGCAGGGCTGGCATGGAGGAGGCCCAATACAGGGTTAGGGCTGGGACAGCTGTGGGCACTGGGGAGCCACAGGGTTCCTAAGCACAGGATAGGCACGGACAGAGCTTTCTTCCCTGTGGTGGGGATGGGCTGGGTAGAGGCCAGGATCTGGGGTATAGGGGGCCCCAAGGAGCAGGCAAGAAGGAGGCCTGCCTAGGCCCCCTTTCCCAGGAGGAGCCTTTAGGGGCACCAAGGAATCAAGCCCCCCAGTCTCCTCCAGGTAGGACAGAGCACGTTTTATTCCGTGTCTTGTTAGTTTGATTAGTGCTGCTAAACAATCAGGCAGGTGCAAATGCCATTTACGCTGTCACTCCAGGCCCTGGTGACTGGAACTATGAGGGGACATCTGTGGAGCTCAGGCCCTGTGCTGGGCAGTGGCTCAGGGACTGAGGAGGGACAGCAACTTGGACTTGAGCTCAGAGAGGAAGCACACCTTTGGGGTTGGAGCTTTGGGTTGGGATTTTCTTGGAGCCCTGACTTGGTGGATTAATTAGCTGGTGGCCAATGGAGTTTGGGGCAGCATGTGGGGTCCCCCAGATGTTAGCCAGCCCTTGGTTGGTGTGACCCACAACTACTCCCCTGAACTTGTCCATCTGTGCCCAGCTTTCCTGCAGGAGGAGGTGCGGCGGGCTGGGTTGGTGCTGCCTGCTCCTGAGGGGAGGCTGCTGGCACCCCCACCCCGAGACCTGCTGCGCATCCAGGAGGAGACCGACCGCCTGGCACAGGAGCTGAGGGATGTGCGGGGCAACCAGCAGGCCTTGCGCACCCAGCTACACCAGCTGCAGCTACACTCAGCCGTCCTGGGCCAAGGCCACGGGCCTCCGGTCAGCAGCTCCAACCCAGGCAGGGGTCTGGGCTAGAGAGGGGATGCTGGGTCCTCTGGCTGGGGCTCATGGTGCTTCCTGGCTCCTAGCTGGCAGTCACCCACACGGATGGGCCTTTGGAAAGAACACCTCTGCTCCAGTCCCCTGGGGGACCCCATGAGGACCTGAGGGTCAAGTGAGTGAGGGACAACTTCATGGCTCAGACTCTTTGCCCACTGCCCTTCCCTCACCCCTGTTCCTGCCCTGGTGGCCTCCTGCATTCTCCTTGGAGGAAGAGCCCGGGTGCCTGGTTGACTGTCCTGGAAGGGCCCTGCTGGGGTGGCCTGGCCAGGGCAAGGTGGGCAGGGAGTCCAGAGCAGCCCCCACCCAGCCCTGGCGGCTGCCAGCTTTGTGGCAGGTGCTGTGGAGCCCCACAAGGCTGCAGCCCTGGAGCGCCTGCTCTGGAGGGCCTGCCGTGGCTTCCTCATCTCCAGCTTCAGGGAGACGGAGCAGCAGCTGGAGGACCCTGTGACGGTGAGTCGGGGTGGCCAGGCTGGGGGCAGCCGCAGCAAGGCAGGGCTCCAGGGTAAACTGGTAAACTGAGCCCAGCTCCACAGGGTGAGCCTGTGACGTGGATGACCTTCCTGATCTCCTACTGGGGTGAGCAGATTGGACAGAAGATCCGCAAGATTACTGACTGGTGAGCCACATGGGGGCTGCCGTCACCACTCACCACTGTGAAACCTGTCCTGTTGCGCTGCCCCACAGGCTCCCTCAGACTCAAGCACCTTCTTCCCCGCCAGCTTCCACTGCCATGTCTTCCCATTCCTGGAGCAGGAAGAGGCCCGGCTCAGGGCCCTACAGCAGCTGCAACAGGAGAGCCAGGAGCTGCAGGAGGTGGGTGACCCTGGCCCAGCCTGGCCACCTGGCCCCCACCACCCCCTGACCTGACCACCCTCTCTGGTCACAGGTCCTAGGGGAGACTGAGCGCTTCCTGAGCCAGGTGCTGGGCCGAGTGCAGCAGCTGCTGCCGCCCAGGCAGGTGCAGGTCCGCAAGATGAAGGCCGTGTACCTGGTCCTCAACCAGTGCAGTGTGAGCACCACACACAAGTGCCTTATTGCCGAGGCCTGGTGTGCCACTCGAGACCTGCCCACACTGCAGGAGGCGCTACTGGACAGCTCGGTGAGCACAGCAGGGCCTCCCGGGGCTATGCTATTCTCCCCTGGGGTTGGGTGGCTGTTTCTGCCTCCCATTAGCCTCATTCTCCTGCCTGGCCTTTGCAAGGAGGTTCCTCTCCTCCCAGCTGCCTCTAAGGCCCAGCTCTTCCAGGGACCCCACCTGATGGCCCTTGCCTGGCAAGCCCTCCCTCCTCTGACTTCCCAGAGCACCTAGAGAGGCTATATGAGGCAGTTATAAAGTCAGAAACCTTGTTCAAACCCAGGCTGTCCCTAGTGCTGGCCATGTGGCCTTGGGCCTGTCATGGAGCTTCAGGATTCTCATCTGTGGAATGGGTGTATGACCCTGGTGGTCTAGGAGCCACTGGAGTGCACACCTGCCGGTGCACAGCAGGTGCTCTGGATGAGCCTGAGCTCCCTCTTTGGGCCACTTGCTAAAAAAGTAGCACATTTTCTTTTCCCAAGGACTTCCCAGTTCAGGTCGTGTCTCAGACCTCCCTGTGTGCCAGCCCCAACTTGGGACAGGGCAGGGCTGATCATCTGATTTTGCAAAGTGGGGAAGGGGCTTCCCAGGCTCTCCCAGTACATGCCCAGGGAGCCCTTGCCATACTCTGCATCTCCAGCTGGGCCTGAAAGCTCTCACCACTGATTGGTCTGTCTCTCTGCCCTGGTGCACAGAGTGAGGCTGGAGTGAGTGCTGTGGCTCACCGCATCCCCTGCCGGGACATGCCCCCGACACTCATCCGCACCAACCGCTTCACGGCCAGTTTTCAGGGCATCGTGGACGCCTATGGCGTGGGCCGCTACCAGGAGGTCAACCCTGGTGAGAGCCACTGAGTGCTTGTTCCTGGGCCCAGCCCCCAGCCCTCTGCCTGCCCTTTGCAAGCCCAAGCAGGAGAGTGAGGGCAGCACCCTGGGTCTGTCTGGCATCTAGAAATGAAATGAGAGGTGTACTCCCCACCACACTCTCAAGGGGCTATTAATTAGGGTTTCTGTTATCCATAGTGAACCACCCCTTACTGGGTTTACAGGGGAGTTGGCTGGGCTTGTGCAAAGGACAGAAGCTTTGCAGGGGGGTGGCCCAGGTTTGAGTCTGGCTTGCTTACCTTGGTGAATTTCTTAGCTTCTCTGAGCCTGTTGCTTCAACTGAAAAACGGAAAAATAGTACAAGCTTCAGAGAAATGTTGGCAAGGTGAACGATGGTGGGAGATTGCAAACCTGCAGCCCACGAGTCAGCCTGCCAGTGTGGTTGGTTTGGTCAGATGGTGTTTTTTGTTTTTTGGTTTTTTTTTTTTTTTTGAGACGGAGCCTCAAGCTATCCCCCTGGGGAGAGTGCCATGGCATCACACTCACAGCAACCTCCAACTCCTGGGCTCAAGCGA